GGGCTCACACCACCCATGCTCAACCATTCAGGGCTTCCCCATCAGTCCCGTGTTGGATGGACTTTGGCACTAGAAGGGTGTGGCATGGCGTATTCTGAAATCCTGCCTGCCCGCCATCACACAGGACCTCCATTCCTGCACCTGTACACTGGCCATCTGTCCCGCCACTCTGCCCTGACCTTTCTGTGTGAGCTGCACAGGCCAGGAAATCAGACACTCATTCTGCCTTTTGCTCCCACTTCCTCTCCGTGGTTTTATTACATTTTTTTTTGCAACTGAATACTGCATCCTGATTATCACTGAACTTACATCACTAAGGTATCAAGCTCCTTGGTCTTGTCAGAAGCCATCCATGGGCTGCATAGGATTTCTGTAATAGGAGATGTTCTCAACTGAAAATTTAAAATGAAAAAAAAAATCCTGACTTGTGTTGAAAATGAACCATTTCATCAATTCTAATACATGTGTAAACACAATTGGGTTTTCTGTCCATTGGGTAAGGTTTTCACATGAGGATGGTTTATGAATTCTTTCTAAGCTTCACTATATTTTTTTGTTTGTTTGTTTTTTGTTTTTCTGGAGTCTTGAGGGATATGTTTTCTCTCTCTTGGTTTTCATATTCCTGCAGGAATCACAGCTTTGCATCAAGAGAAATCACCTAAACTATTTTGACAGAGGATTGGCATGTGTGTTAGTGTGTGTGTACTCATGTGTGTATGTGTGATTCAGTATATTTTTATGCAAAGATCAGTTAACTCCATCCAAACACCCTACTGATTGGAGGCAGTATTTCCCATCACAACAGTACCCTTGGATGGATGTGCTGAAGATTGGGCTGGAGGGGCTGGCGGCAACAAGGAGTCCCACTCAGCTGGCCTGTTCCCTTCAGAAGAGTAAGAGGGTCTTGGGGCTGCTCTTTGAAAAGAGGCCAGCAGCAGGCACTCTGCTGATGGAGGGTCAGACACGAATCTGATGAGGGTCAAACTGGGAGCCTCGCAGCCCGTCGGCCTGCTCTAGGGGAGAGTTTCCTTATTGCCACAGCCCTGCGGTCACCCCTCTGTCTGGAGGTCGTGGCTCCTCCAAGTCCTCTGTTTTATAAAGTGGTCTCATACTCCAGCCGCTCCTGAATGAGAGCATCGTCTTTGTATTGCAGCCTCGGAGGAGACGGCGAACATTCAAAGGCTAAGATGGCCTTTCGGAGGCTTCGGTCCAAAACGTGTCTCTCCCACGCTGGGTACCTATTCCTGAACAGGTCAATCTTAATGACGGACTCTTCAATCCGTGGTGGGCGAGAGGATGGGGTGGATGGGGCCGTGGGCCTCACCTGAAAGACAGGGACACACCCATCTCGCTCTGTGAATTTCTGGTCGCGGTCGCCGGCGACACTGCGGTTGTTGGAGATGGACCGCAAGGTGCTCGTGGCCACGTCTGGAGGCAGAGTGAAGGCAGCAGAAGGGTCCTCGCAAGCACAGCTTGGTGACTGCCCGAATCGGGGTCCGTTGGGATGAAAGAAGGCATAATACATCAGCATAAAAACCACGCCGGTTAAGAAGCTGCTGAAGACCACGCACAGCGCCGGGATGGCAAATGCATCCGCGATCTGGGGAGCCTTGTAGAGGTACCAGAGGGCACTCAAGGCTGTGTTTTCCAGAAGGATCACGAAATAGTAAATGAAGAGCCTGCAGCGTGTCCTGCCTTCCTTGACATTGAACCAGCTGAAGATGTAGATAATCCCCACCACCATGTCGAACACGATCTCCTCCCACTTGGTGATGCAGAACTCCGTCTCACAGTGGACGATCCAGAAGGTCATGATGCACCAGTGAAGGACAATGAAGATCCCAAAGTAGAGCTGGAAAACCGAGGCAAAGAGGGCAAAGGTGATGACCCTGGCCGCGATGGTGAAGAAGTGCCAGCAGAACTGGATGACCACGGCCATGTAGCTGATGGGCTTCTTGTCATCGCGAGAGTCCCGGAGGGCCTTCTGGTAGGAGGCCAAGGCCCAAGCCAGGGATACCAGGGAGGCTGCTGCTGTGAAACCTACAAAGGCAAGCGGGAAGACAGGCTGTCAAAGGTGCGATACACTGGAAAGAAGTCAGGTGGGGCTGGGGGTTTGGGACAGGCTAGCTTCCACCACAGCAAAGCTCTTCATTTCTCTGAGTTTTAGCTGGACTGTAGATGGGACTCCTAGGATCTGTCCTCCACCGGCCCCCACCATATGGTGAAGACATGGAGCTGGTGAGAATGCTACTCAGGATGAGAGTGGGGTGTGGGGGCTGAAAACGGGGAGGGGTGTTAGCTTTCTGTGTATTCAGCAAAAATAGATTCTGAAGGTCGTTTTGTTTGGTGGGAATATAACTGTGAACTGCATGTTGATAGAACTGGGTGGCTGTTTCAACGTTGCCACTGATGACCTCCATGACTTCGGACAATGATTTAAATTGGCATCCTCATTTAGAAGGTGGATGATCTCCAAGACTCCTTGTCAGCTCTGGGATGCTGTGATCTAAAGGAACTAATAATCACAGGAAAGGCGAGGGGCTAGTTGGTTACCTTTCTGGTTCTAAACAGGAATAAATTTAGCTCAGTCCCCCAGTTAATTATTTCTTGAAAATAAGGCAAGGAGTCCATGGGGTCTCCCTGGCCATGTTTCTTGTGGCATCTGGTGTGCTCTCTGCCCTCATGTGATCTGAGACTCTTTCTACAGCTTCTTTCTGCTTCAAAGAAGAAATTTCTGCTCACTGTCACTCATCTTGTAATCTTTCACAGGTTAAACCTTGTACAGAAATCACTTATCAATCGCTTTTCTTATTAGGCAGTGAGCCAGTTTAGTTAGTATTCCCCCTAAAAGTATGTTTCCAGATAAAAAAATAAATATTCTTACTGCTTCCCTCCACTCCTGCTCCACCTACTACACCTGAAACATCACCTTTGTGGCCCTGATGTGGAGAAGGAGCTTCTAAAACACACCACCTCCTTCAGGAGGGAGGGAGAATTCCACTTTGTCACTGAAAGGTCAGATCAGTCTGCCCTGCAGCTGGTTTATTAACAACGAGCCGTAGCACGAGTTGTAACAATACTTATGTATGTGTGTGTTCTCAGTCTTATCCGACTTTTTGTGACCCCATGGACTGTGGCCAGACAGGCTCCTCTGTCCATGGGATTCTCCAGGCAAGAATACTGGAGTGGGTTGCCATGCCCTCCTCCAGGGGATCTTCCCGACCCAGAGACTGAACCCGGTCTCTTGCATTGCAGGCAGATGCTTTGCCATCCGAGCCACCTGAAAAGCCCAAACAGTGGAAAACCAGGATTGACCACCTGGGCTTGTCCATTTAGTTTTCTTTAATCTAGAATGTTTCCACAGGCTTTCTTTGTCTTTTATCACTGGACAGTTTTTGAAGAATACATTACCTAAAGAAAAGAAAGAAAGAAAGAGAGAAGGAAGGAAGGAAGGCAGGCAGGAAGAGTTCTAAATACAGTCAGAACCACAGGAAGAGATATGCAAAAATTTTGCACCATTCTTCATTGCTCTCCTCTTATGCTTTTCCAATTTCAGTCTGAGCTGCAAATGCCAAAACATTGTGAAATAAAATCTGTTCTCCCGTTGTGTTGTTTGTGGCCTGGGCATAAACAAGAATTCTTGGAAGAAGCCAGAGAATGCTTTATGTGGATTTATAGCCTAATTCCCTAGATGTAGGAGGTTCAGAGAACTGAATCACACACTCTAAACAGAGTGAGACTCTTTCCCTCTTCTTAAGGAGTATAGAAGGGCAGCTCTCCTCGCCCCCTCAACTCCACCACAGGCCAGCCAAGGGTTGGTGTCAGGGTTTTAGGACCCATGTTCACAACTGAACTGCAGCTAGTGAGAAAGGGATTTTTAAAAAAGTTGTTACTGTGTAAAATTTCAAGTATATACAATAGCAGAAAGAAGAATAGAACAGATAAACGCTGCAGGCACAGTCAACTCAAGGGCCTGAGCTCTGAAATTCTTCCCGAGGGAAGTGTGAGTTTTGGCCGGCAGGGGGCGCCTTCCTGAATCTTCCGGCTGCTTTGTCTTTACTGGGAGACAGAAGCGCTGTTCCTGGGACCTGCCGTTTCCTCCGTTCCTTCTCGGAAGCCTGGCCTGGCGGCTTTCGGCCCGATTTCCTCTGACTAACTCGGTCCCCCAGCCACCCTGCCAGGTTTCCCTCTCCCAGGAAGACAGAAAATGCTGTGCTTAAACTTGAAAAAACCATCTCTCAGTGAGAATTCAAGCATCATTCCTTTCATCAGGGAAGCCAGTCCCGGCCCCAATCTTGAGTCCACTCCCCGCCCCGACCCCCGACTACAAGCGCACACCACGCCCCGCACTCTGCTCGCTTTGAAGCACTCAGGGAAACAGACCCAAAGGGAGGCTGAATAACTTGCCTGAGCTGATGTAACTAACAGAGCAGAGCAGACATCCAAATTCATAGATTCCAAAGTGTGCACCACGGCCACAGACGGGGATCAGATTGGGATCCACGACAGGCGAGAAGAGGTATAGACAAGTGTGTGTGAGGTGTAGATCTCCAGGGCTCACAACCTCGAGGGATGAAGGTGACCCTGGAGCGGTGCTGCCTCTCAGGTCCTGACTCTGAGGGCTGCTATCACACCTGCTACTTCAGGCTCGCCTTGAGCATGCTTGTTCCCAGGTCAAGGGGTCCCATTTAAGTGTGCACCACGGCCACAGACGGGGATCGGATTGGGATCCACGACAGGCGAGAAGAGGTATAGACAAGTGTGTGTGAGGTGTAGATCTCCACGGCTCACAACCTCGAGGGATGAAGGTGACCCTGGAGCGGCGCTGCCTCTCAGGTCCTGACTCTGAGGGCTGCTATCACACCTGCTACTTCAGGCTCGCCTTGAGCATGCTTGTTCCCAGGTCAAGGGGTCCCATTCTGGTTCTTTTCACAAAATTGACCAGAAGCACAAGCTCCCAGAAGGAAAACCAGGACTTTTTCATCTTCCCATTTTCTGGACTAAAACAGTCCTCCTGGTTTTCCTGATTTTTCTTTTTTTGGCTGTACTGTGAGGCTTGTGGGATATTAGTTCCCCTCCCAGGGATCGAACTAGGCACTGGGCAGTGAAAGCATGGATTTCTAATCACTGGACCTGGATTTTTGTCTGTGGAAAAACGTTGCCCAATTCAAGCTGATTATAGAGCAAAGAGTAGCAGGTCATGAAACCAGAATGGTTTTCTAGTTCTCCAGCATGCTTATAGCTTGTCTCGGTTACAGATATAAAAGCCAGAGATCCACTTGGCTGGACTCTTGATCGAATTCACCTAGTTGAAAGAGTATAATAATTGAAAAAAAAAAAAAAACCCCCAAGCCGGGAACCTTGGGGGAAGAAGGGAAACAAAAAAAAAGTCATATGAACTCCACTGGGTCTAAGATGTTCGAAATCTCCTTGCATGGAAACCATTTTATCTCTTTTTTAAACCTTGTAATAGTTCTGATTAAAAATATTTAAATGCTTTAATATGTTTAATTTCGGTAGGGATACGCATTCTCCTCGTAATCCATCCCAAGGAGTTCAGCTTCTTTGCAAGGCAAATTGTAAGGCTGCTAAGGAGTTGATAAGAGAAATACTGAATGGAAATTTTTAAAAATATTTTACTATGAAAGCAGTAGAGGAAAGTTGTGGGAAGAAGCAAAGTGTCTTTTCCTCTTTAAGACATGTGAAAAGAAATTTCTTTTCTTTTTTAAAATTTTTAATTGGGAAATAATTGCTTTACAATATCATGTTGGTTTCAGCCATACATCAACATGAATCAGACATATGTATGTATGTATGTATATATATATATATATATATATACAGGTCCCCGTCCTTTTGAAACTGCCTCCCACCTCCCACCCCATCCCACCTCTCTAGGTTGTCATGGAGCACTGGGTTGAGTACCCTGTATCACAGTAAACTCCCACTATCTATTTTACATATGGTAATGTACATGTTTCCATGCTACTCTCTCAACTGGGATTTCCTTCTGAATGAAAAAAACACAAGTTAGGTGATCTCGCATAGCCCATTTCAATTTTTAAATTATCTTTAGATTAAAAAAACATTTCCCAGGAAGGCGAACATTCTGTGTGTAAGAATATGGAAACATCTAATGCTGTTTCTCTAGGGAAAAAACATTCTGTACTTAGGAGAGGGCGAGGAGTCAGCCTTCTTTGTACACTATTACAAACTTCAACCTATATTTACATGGAACATAAAAAACATAAATGACTACTCAAAAGACATAAAATAGGGCTTCCCTGGTGACTCAGTGGTAAAGAATCTGCTTGCCAAAGTAGGAGACATGGATTTGATCCCTGGTCTGGGAGGATCCCACATGCGGCAGAGCAACTAAGCCCTTATGCCCCAACTACTGAGTCCACATGTGGCAACAACTGAAGCCCAGGTGCCTAGAGCCCATGCTCTGCAACCAAAGAAACCAAGGTTGAAAAGAAACCAAAGAAAACAAAGTTGCCACACACCGCAACTAGGGAGCAGCCCCCTCTCGTCACAACTAGAGAAAAGTCTGAGCAGCAGTGAAGACCCAGCGCCACCAAAAATAAATAAATGAATATTAATAAAAAAGAAACATCCAATGCAGATGTTTAAAAAAGACATAAAATAGGGCTTCCCTGGTGACTCAGTGGTAAAGAATCTGCTTGCCAAAGTAGGAGACATGGATTTGATCCCTGGTCTGGGAGGATCCCACATGCGGCAGAGCAACTAAGCCCTTATGCCCCAACTATTGAGTCCACATGTGGCAACAACTGAAGCCCAGGTGCCTAGAGCCCATGCTCTGCAACCAAAGAAACCACGGTTGAAAAGAAACCAAAGAAAGCAAAGTTGCCACACACCGCAAATAGGGAGCAGCCCCCTCTCGTCACAACTAGAGAAAAGTCTGAGCAGCAGTGAAGACCCAGCGCCACCAAAAATAAATAAATGAATATTAATAAAAAAGAAACATCCAATGCAGATGTTTAAAAAAGACATAAAATACGTAATCTGAGATCCCCAGT